CACGGGGCCAGCCCCTGTCATAATTAGATTTTATTATTATTGCTTTAAATGGATTGCTTTGGTTGAGTGGCAGAAGCAAGTTTCACTCAAGATAGCTAAACTAACACCTGGACTAGCTAATGAAAATTATTTGTACAGAATTAATTTCACAAAAAAATGAGAGAATTTGAGGAGCCAACGCGATGATAACTGTAATGGCTTGACTATGTGGCATGACGAGCTAAATGAAAGAAGTGATAGGGGCCGGCCCCATGGCCAAGTGGTTGGGTTCGCACTCTGCTTCAGCAGCCCAGGGTTTCACCCATTCGTATCCTGGGTGTGGACCTGATGCCACTCATCAAGCCATGCGTCCCATGTGCCACAGCTTGAGGGACCCGCGGCTAGGGTATACAGCTGTGTCTTGGGGGACTTTGGGGAGAAGAAGGAAAAATAAAACCTTTAAATAAAAAAAAAGAAAGAAAGAAGTGATAAACACAACTTGAAATATGATATGACAGTAGCGAAGCCACACTTCCAGAGGAAAATACGGAAAATCAGGAAGAAAGGACCACATGTCAATAATACGTCTGTTTGAACCAAGTCAGATGTAAATATGGTTTGATTCTTAGGTTCAAACTTTTCTCTCCTTGCTCTCTGACTTTGCAGCATTGCTGCTGCTATAACACTTAGCTGTCAGTCCAGTTTTCTTGACAAAAGAGCAGAACAAACCATGTCATTTGGGGTGTAAGCAAAAACCCCAAGGTTGGAATTGGTACTTCAAAGAATTTTACAAACTGGAGTTGGCAGATAGCTACAGACGTTAAGCAGCTCAGAAGTTAAACAGAAATGGAGGCCCTGGAACTTCAGAAAGCAGCTCACATCTTCAAGAAACTTTGATTAATTTTAGAAACAAAGTACATATTCACGTGTATCCTAAAGACAGGAAACTTTTGTGTGTGTATGTGTGAGGAAGATTGGCCCTGAGCTGACATCTGTGCCACTCCTCCTCTCTTTTATGTGGGACACTGCCACAGCATGGCTTGATGAGTGGTGCTAGGTCTGTGCCCAGGATCCGAACCTGCAAACCCCAGGCGGTGGAAGTGGAGCATGTGAACTTAACTACTATGCCACCGGGCTGTCCCAATAGGAAACTTTTTCAGTGTAAATACTGAGTTAAGAAACATGCCTGACATGCAGTGTCAGAAACATTCACCATTTTCTAGGGTCCTAAAACCACTTCAGTAAGTGTGTGTGTGTGTGTGTGTGTGAGAGAGAGAGAGAAAGAGAGAGGGAGAGAGGATTAGAAAAGGCAACATGCTGATTTCTAAACTGAGGATAACAGAAATTATATTTGAGTAACAGTAAAAGCTTTTCTTTTAAATTTCAACTGTTTCTAGAAAGCAAAGCAGACAAGAGACCCATAGAAAGAGTTTTTGAGAGAAGAAAAAATCAATTTCATGAAAATAACAAGAAAACAGGAGCAGGATCTATCACGAAATGGTAGATTGTCACATAAGCAATTTTTTGATTATCAGCCTCACAGGCAAAAGCTTCATACGAAGGCTCTTACAAAAAGTTTACACGAGGCACAAACAGGGGTCAGTAGTGCAACCACAGGGCTCCGTGTACACACAAAGAAAGCCTGGGATTCTTGGGCTTCCTATCATCTGAATGGGCCTTAAATTTGTTGTTTATTACCAAAAAGAAAGGAAACATTAATGACAGAAGTATATTGGACTCCCTATATTATAGTTGTCAAATTCTCCCCTCTAGGGGCCAGCCGGGTGGCGCATCGGTTAAGTGTGCACGTTCTGCTTCAGCGGCCCGGGGTTCAGTAGTTTGGATCCTGGGTGCGGACATGGCACTGCTTGGCACACCATGCTGTGGCAGGCATCCCACATATAAAGTGGAGGAAGATGGGCATGGATGTTAGCTCAGGGCCAGTCTTCCTCAGCAAAAAGAGGAGGCTTGGCAGCAGATGTTAGCTCAGGGCTAATCTTCCTCAAAAAAGAAAAAAAAAATTCTCCCCTCTATCATTTAAACACTACAACTTCTTTCTCCCAGTGTAGCTCTCTGCAGAGGATGAACGTGGTGAACTATATTTCTCCAAATCAGCCTGTGGGTGCACTGGCATAATATGCTTGTGTGTTTCTAAACATTTATAAAAATTCAGATCACCCAAAGCCCCAGCTTTTCAGTGATGCTCTAGGGAGTTCCATTAAGATACCAAAATTAATTATCCCTGTGTCCCCCACAAAATGGCCACTTAGAGAGCAACCAAAAGAAGTGGCGAGAAGTCCCTTCCCTCGTGTTCTTTCATGAAAGTAGTTTCAGAGTTAGGCTATCTTCCAGAAACGTCCATGTCTCCAGTAGATCTATTCCCTCTGCCTTCAGACATGTGCTTGGTATCCTTAAGGAGCAACCAACAAGGTCATGAGAAGATGCTATTAAGATATAGAAGCAAAGGGATACTTTTCCCTGGCATTGGGATCGATCTAGCTTGTCTGTCTGTCCGTCCATCATTTTATTGTCAGATTCACTAGGTTTCAAATCCATGAGGTGTTGGGAAAGATATCCACCTTCAGGAATAAGAGGAAAGAGCAGAAGTCCAATCAATGCTACCATTTTAGCAAGACATTTGGGAAGAAACTGTAATAATGTTGCAAAAACTTTGCTAAGGAAGTAACTTCATGATAATTATAGTAACTTTGTTAACACTTGTAGCTTTTCTACACCTTAGCAGATTATTCCTGATCTCTTAAGTATTTTTCCCATAGAGAATTTTTTTTAAAAAGCAATAAACAAAAAAACCAGTCAATTTTGTCCATCTTGAAAAATCCTTAACTCTTACCTTTCTAATTGCTGCATTTATCCTTCCTTTCACTCAATTTCAAACAAGTAGTATAGGCTGCGTTGCTATTTTTTAAACCTCTGCAATTTGGTTTCACCCATATTTCTCCATTAAAATTTTTCTATCAATCTGGATACCTTCTACTGACCTGCCTTCCTGTTTACTAATCTTTTGTTCTGTTGCTTTGAACCTGCTGTTAAACTTATCTGTGGATTCTTATTTTCAGTTATTATAATTTTTGATTCTAAAGCTTCTGTTTGACTTCTATATCTTCTCTACTTATTTCCTATAGTTATTTTTAAAGTCTTTGTATGAGAATTGCAGTATGAGTTATCTGTGTGTGTTTTTCTGTGTTGTTTTCCTTTGTTTCCAGAAAATCAGTCTTGTTTATTAGCATGCTTTATACCTTTTTGATTGGATGCTGGATATTGTAAATGAAAATTTGTAAAGGCTCTGGGTAATGTTATCTTTTTCCAAGGAGGGTTGTTTTCTTTTGGTAGGTAGGTAGTGTACAAGCTGGTCACCTTGGTCCCATCCAGAGTTAACCGGAGGCTTAGTTAGGGCTGGTCTGTTTCAATTTTGCCCCTTCCCTAGCGCACAGCCTACCCTCTTAGGGCGTCACCCTTATTCCTAGGTTTAGGCCTATTGGGATCCAGACAAAAGCCCCGGTGTTTGCCAAGGCCCATCTCACTCTGAGGCTTCAAATACAATCTCTCTCTCTCTCCAGCACTAGATGGCCAAGGAAATCTGTTAACTCCTTCAGCCTCCCAGCCAGGGGCCGGACAAGGGTGACACAAGGAAGGCACCCAGGACAAGGTACCACCCCGAAAGTGAGGGCCGCTTTAAATCTTACGCCCTAGGCAGCTCTCTCTCCTCATTCTAATTGTGGCCCTGCTCTCAACTGCTGTTTTTTGCTGAGTCTTAACATTCAGTCATTGATTTGAAAGGAATCTGTATTAAGATTTTGGGGATTCCCTTCATGTGAGGCCTCATCTCTGGGGTTTGCCCCTCAATTTTCTGTTGTGCTGGCAGCTCTGAATTTCTGTTTTCTCAGCTCATTCAGAATTCCTGTTTGGGTTCCATCACCCTGTGGCCCCTCAGGGAACTGGAAGCTGGAGACCCCTCAAATTCTGGCTGCATTGGTTACCCTCCACTGCATTAAAAATATTGTTTTTTATACTTTGTCCCACTAATTTTGTCCCGTCTCTTTACTGATTGTTTAAAGATGTATTGCTTTGTTTCGACTCTAATCTTTTGTTTATGCTGTTTCTTCTGTCTTGGATTCTCTTCCTTTACCCATCCAAACCAAACCATCCTTCCTGCCCCACTGAATCTCACTTCCTCCAACCCCATGTGCATTTATCAAAAATGTTGTTTTCGGACAATTTTTTATTGATGTGACAAAACATTATTTGATGTTAAGGGAAAAGTGTAAAGTTCCAAACCATAGATAATATAACCTAGTTTTATTTTTAAAATCTATCTAGATACAATTTACTGAAAAAAAGAGATCAGAAGAAAATTAATAAAAAATGTTAATGGTTATTTCTAGGTGATGAGATTACGTATTTTTAAAGTGTTCTCCATATTTGAAATTAATAAAAAATGTTATTGGTTATTTCCAGGTGATGGGGTTATGTACTATTTTAATTTTCTTTCAAGGTTCTTCATATTCTCTACAGTAAAGTACAATGCTGCTTTTCTAACAAAAAGCTACTCTTTTAAATAACAATTATCAATGAAAATAAACATGGTTGCAATGTTTATGTAATAACTTCATGACATTCATGAGAATGAAGGAAAAGTCTAAAATGGTTTCTCCACAATGGTCTGAATATTTTTGTTTCAGGCTACTTTTCCTGACCACGTGAAGTCCGTGTCTGGATTCACAAGTTTGCACACTCCATGCTGGCTAATGCAGGACGATTCCTAACGATGATAGGACCCATTTCCTTCTTCATTCATTCTGAATGAATGAACAAATCCAGACTGAATTTATTCAACATCGGTACCGTCAGTTCCATATTTATAATCACCGCTATCTGAGGATATCTTAAAACTACTTAATTTATGCTCAGATTGGCATAAATACTGCCTGAATAGCGTTTTATCCAGTCACTTAATTCAGCAATAACACAAATCATTAAAAAAAAATCTCCAAAACTCATCATAAATGCCAACGTTATATGTTTTATTTTTAATCAAGTAATTGCTTTAAACCTCAAAATATCCATAATTGACAGAGTAAGACTTTAGGCATGAAATGAGAATATAAAATTCATGGTCTGCAGAAAGGCAAACAGTACTTTAGTCCATCAAGACAACTGTACACGAGTGAAATGCCATTGCAGGCATCTACTCCTTCTTTGTCCTTTAAAAACATACAGTTCAAGTGTTTTTATTTTCACTTGTAAACAACATGAGTCAAAATGGACAATGAGGTAATCTAAATACTACACAGGATAATTTAAAAACACTAGATAAAACACCGTATTAAAGACATACAGAAATCAGTGTTCACTTTGGTCTCCAGTATGGTTAGAGTTGTTAATACCAAAAAAGCAACACGTACTAATTAAAGCCAGCTTGGTGGTGGGTGCCAGTGGTTGATAGATGGAAGTAATTCAAGAGGTAGTCAACACCATCATGTTCAAGCTGGTCACTCTCACAAGTGTTAAGCCACAGATGTATTAAATATTGTAATAGTTTCTCACAGTACAGTACTTTACCATAACTTTGCAGCTTTGTTCCAAATAGAAAATTTAAAAATGATTCATAGGTCAATCTCTCACTCTAATTGAGCAACTATGACACAGATCACACAACCAGCACGTCTTAAAGAGGCTGTTGACAGCTATGTAAGATAGAATTTGATGCTTTTAACAAGTTGTTCTTCTCTAAAACAAATAAATCTCATTAAGACATCTAGAAAATTAAAGTCAGTACAGCTGCACTTGTACACTTTCCCAAATTTTATAACCAAAGGGGAAATACACATATATATTTTATGATAAACATTTCTTAGAGAAAACAGATAAATTAATTTAAATTAAGTTTAAGACTTAATGAGATTTCCCATGTCCTGTATAATTCATCTTACAGTGAATGTTACAACGACTACTAACACTTATGGGCTTCTATTCACAAACTAAATACAGCTAGCAGTAACTTGGGGCCACACCGGTGCAAAATAAAACTGGGCCAGAATATGAAAAAAATATCGGCAATAAAACATCCTATATTTGTAGATGGACCAATGCTAATAACGTGATGTTTCTGGATCTTTTTTGCTACATTGCACGCCAAACGTCCAAGTTATAAGCAGGTAAAAATCTTTCTAATCTCTCACTTGTAAAAAATACATCCGAGGTCTTCTAGTGAAGACTAGAAACGCAAGCATAAAAATGCTTCTACTATAATCTGCCATGTAGCAATGAATAGCTCACAGGGCTCAGAGGCTGGTAGTGCATCTTTCTTAGGAATTACATTTGTGTTGACATACCGGGGAGGTCACAGGGCAACTAATTCACAGACCTCCTGCCCAGCCCAGCAGTAACCCCTGTAAACTGATGCTTCCCACAGACTCTCCCCCTCAGTAGCTAGAAATGGCATTGCACGTTCACTCTGTTCACTCCTCGGCAAGCTGGTGCTAGTGAGTTACGTGCCTAGGGCGACAACGCTGCAATATGCTTGGCCTCAGGGCAGCACAGACACAAACGAAGGAGATTGGCATCTTTTACGCTTTTGCCCAGCGTGAGTACACTCATACACCAACCTCTCCTCTTGCCACCCCTTCCCACCCCCGACCTCTGGGCAAAGCAGCTATTTCCAAGATTGCTCCTGTCTTCTGTTTTGCTTAAGTGGAAGGGTGCCCATAAGTCTTTAAACTAAATACATGATCACTTTAGGGAAATGCTTGGAGACTTTGCTAACTAAATGAGATGCTTCATTATTCACAAGTGTTTGTCAGAAACATGCAGTTGTGAATTGCTATCTATAATATAGATTAAAAGGTTGTGTACCAGAGAATTATCAGCCACTGTAAGGCTGGAGCAGCATAAAGGTGTGCTATGCATCAGCTATGAGGTAGCCTTTTGCTGTAAACAGGATAATAGTTCACCCATGTAAATGGACACTGTGCTCACATCAGTGACATTCACATGTGCAAGGAGTTCAGGAATTCTGCTTTAGAGTACTTTTCACATGAAATAAAAATAGGAGAACTGATATCTGACACTCGGAAATTTTGATCTATGTCAAACTCAGAGGTAGTTATTACTAGCATCAGTACATAACACTTACACAAAGGTCTAAGTCATTTGGTTTGTTTTGAGTAAGCAGGACTGTAGACTATTCTGTAAAGAAACGACGACAACATTATATGGTATGTTCCCTGAGCAAAGTTCTTTGTCCTGAGTAGGTTATGTAATAGTGATAATATTCTTATATAAAAAATAAACCCCAACTTTTAATCATAAGATAGGTTTGGTATGTGCTCTTAGTTCAGTCTGGTAAGATGCTTAAAATGATTTCAAATTGCACCCATAAGGTCCAAGTTATAAAATGTTTCTGGGTGGTTTTTTTTTTTTTATTTTTTACCACGATCTCAGCTCTGAACTTTTCATATGTAAACAGGGAATGTCCAATTCTCAAGTCCATAATTTCCTATTTCTATAAGGTCAAGGAACTTTGGTTTGAATTTTCAAAGTGACTTGTTATGTTTTGCATTTTTACTGTTAACCTGCTTAGTATACCTGCTAAAAATTAAGCAATGCCACTTTGATTTGTCTACATAATTTAAATAAGCTTACGATCCTCACATAAGGCAAGGAAGTACTTCTCTACAGCTATATATCACATTCAATATCGTCAAAGGTAAGCTTTGCATCACAGCACACTGATATTTCAGTATATACCATGGAGATCCTCACAAACACTGTCGTGAAATTCAGGCTGAGTTGTGAAGGACTGGCAGCCCAGCCTGAGGCATTTTCTCCTTATGCGTGGCATGCTGAACAGCAGCAACTGTACATGTCTCCCATGGCAGGACGAGTTGGGGAGGGAGTGGAAACTGTTCAGCAGAATGTGTCTCATTTGAATCATGCTATTTTCTTTTTTTTTTGATTATCTGAGCTTACACCAACAGGCTCATACAAAACTATATTTATTGCCAATGTTAAGCATTAAAATTAATTGGTACCTTCTTGGAGGTGTTTCAGAAATTTACTCATAACATCTAGAACCAGGATGACACCAAAATCATCTTTTTCCATTACTGAAACCTAAAGAGACCAATGTAATGATTGGTCCCTGCCAGGTGATTACTATAACTGAGGACCAACCTGACAAGCGTCTCTATCCTCAGCACTGAAGGTTCATCCTGCATCCACCATATACGTTACTCCAGCTTGTGTAATAGACGGAACTTCCATAAGATCAATTTTCTCGTATAGAATACTTCTAGCTTTCTGGTGGGAGAGGTTTTGGTACCTCTGCCCCAGATCCATCACTCTAGTCGCCTGCCACCAAACACTGCACTTTTTAATATTACTCAAGGTCATATGTATTGGGCAATCGTGAGCATCCACTTAATTTTCATTCTCAACCCTGGCATTTTATTCATATCTGTGCTGTTTTGTTTATTTGTTTTAGAAACAGATAACTCCCCAGGGGGAATAAAAACAGCCCCAAAGATATATACCAAATGATTGGAGTTTTCCTCCAAGGTCTCAGTAGTCAACAAGGAGGGCCCCCTGCTCAAGGTGATGGTTCCAAAGACTGACGCGGTCAAGGGAGGCTGCTGTCGCCACAATCCCTTAAAAACCTCACAATGTGTAAAAGATTACAATGAGCTGGTATCAAAATACCACTGAAAACAATCAAGTCACTACATTTATACATTGCCCTCCCCTTCATTTCTCTTAATAGGCATCTAATTTACAATCAAAACATATGAATTAAAAACATTGAAATATCGGCACAGAAATTACACATTCATTGTCTTTTCTGGAGTTATGTATCCCAGTTTCAAAAAAAGCTATGGCAGTCAGAGGCATATGGAGTTAAGGAACTGCCTTCAAGGTTTGGGGGATGGGGGACAAGCTCTACAGATATCAAGAAAAAGAGGCAATCCCAAGTTTGGGAGAACTGATGTCTAAGAACATTTAGTACCATATGATTGGCAGCTCTGAGATCTGAAGTATCCTTTGGTTCACACAAAAGGTAACATCATGTCTTTATTTTTGTGTAATATAAAGGGAGTGGTATTTCAAGGAAAACTCCAGGGGTGATTTTCAAAACCATCTAAAATGCTTCACATGGGTTTTCAATGCTTGGGGATGTCCAATTCTGTGAGAGAGGGTGTGTGCTTGTATCTCTAGATACACATATATAAAGACAAGCCCTCTTTATATATATGTCTACACTCCTATATCAAATCCTCCTACACACACACAGGCTCGGGCTCTCCCCCTCTCACACACGCACATATAGATCAACACTGTCCCTCCTTCTCTGGGTGACATAAAACAGACACCCTGCTCGAGTGTAATTTGCTTAGAGTGATTTGTCTGTTTAAAAAAATTCACAGTTCCTCAACAGTAGTTAAAATGCCAGGTCAGCTGCTGCTTGTGAAATACTGTCCCCCTGTACTTGCATGAGGTAGACTTCCCAACTGGGGAGAGAACACGATACGCTAAGAAGAAGGGTTATGTCTTTTTCCTTTTTTGAACGGAAGGCCCCTTTTTGCTTTGTTCTTCTGCACCTGCAGACGACTTCATGGAGGAAGCTTCTGGAGGTGACCTGCCTGGCCATTCTGAGATCTCGGACCTAGCCTCCGGAGGAAAGGGTGGTGATGTACAGCCATGCCCTCCCCCCACCTCTCGAGGGAAAGTCGAAGTGCATGGCTGGGATTCGGCTTCCTGTCTTCCCTGAGAACTGGCGGGTGGCTGTGCGACAGTTTTATGTGGGCAGTTGGCCACCATGTGCGTGATGCTCTGACAGTAATGGCACTTCTTTGGCTGTGGAGGTAGACTACATTCCTTAGCATGATGATCAAGGCCACCACAGTTGTAGCATCTGCAACAAGAATAATGAAAACATCTTAGAAGTAGGGAACATGTATCATAAAATACATGTCATAAATCAAAAAGATACTAAAACGCACAAACGGTCAAGGAGACCAACTCCTTTTAATGTGCTTTCTTAATAAGTCTGTAAGGATATTTATCATACACTGCTTCAAAGATTAGCATCACCAAAATGCTCAGCAAAGTTGTAAAACTACTTGTACTCAACACAACAGTCGATGAAAAACAAGAGGACTAAAATATGAAAGAATATTTATCACTTCTGTAGAGAAACGAGTTCTTTTTTAGATTTGACAGGTTATTTTAAAAGAACAGTTTACTCCACTAGAGGGCAGTCATGTTCAACAAAAATAACCAGCTGGTTTTAAAAAGAAGATCGCTAAAAAATACAGCTGTTAACAACATGCAAAGCCAATTCACTCAGCAATTGGGAAAATTATAGACCAAATTACATTTTACGAGTTTAACATTTCTTTGGGTGTTAATTATTTTGGCTGTGGAACCCAGCTGAACTGGAAGAATTTTTTTCCTTTGTACAAATTAGGTAGCGCAGCGAAATTTGGTAAATAAGAAAGTCAGATGTCTGCGGTGAATGATTTCTGGCAAATTACCAAGTAATTTTAGAGTAAGGCAGTAAGTATGTGAATCAGAAGAATGCTATAAAAGAAAGCTTCTAAATACTTAGATCGGATTAAGAAAGGTTGATGCTACTTCAGTGATGAGAAAAATTTACTTTTTTTTCTGTAAGAAATTAGTTTTCCTTTAGGGTAAATTCTTCTAAATTGAAATAAACACAAATCCATCCTTAATTAACATTTGAATGCACATTGGGGGCACAGCTTTGTACTACATGTTTGAAAATTTGACTTAGCTTCTAAATGCTGAGCAAGTAAATTATTTGGAAGATATATTTGCTCAATTTCAATCAGATTTTCTTTCTTTTAAAATTTCATATTAAAAACAATGAAACGTCATAAAGTGGAAAAAATAAAATTTTATACTTATAAAGGTTTTTAATCTACTTGATGAGTACGAATTTGCTTATTAATTTGTCTCCAAATGAAATATTTTAAGAGCTTTCTATTTTTTATTTATTTTCCAAGTACATTTATGATTCCATAATTCTCATTATGAAACACCAAGTCACAACATTTTTTTTAAATGATAGCAAAATAGGTGGTAACTGTAAGAATCAGCTTAAGATCATAACGACAACAAAATAATTTTAATTACACTGTGTGCACATAGCAAGCTTAATGACTTATAGTACCATATATTTCAAAGGAAAACTACTAAGCTACTACTAACCCACTGAGCAGTATGTGCAGGATACTTACTATTTCATCTTCTGGGATAACTTATGAGTGAAAGGATAAAATAAGGATAACTGTGGCCTCCTTCTCCAGCTATCAATATTAACTCACAGAATTCAGGATAATGGATTCACAAGATGGGCCTTTATTCTTTGCAATAATTAAGTATTTACGTCAGGAAAAAAGACTTCATCATATTTTCAAAAATTAAAGGGAAAAACCAAGAAATCGCTTTTCCTCACTAAATAATTTATTGTACAACTACATACCTTAATATAACAACTTAATGAAACAATATAATAATGTGGATTCAATATGGTTTCAGCCATGTGTTCTAAGAGATAATGCAAAATTAAAGAATAATAAAAATTACCGATTAATGTTTGAAACTCAGGTCCCCAAAATAACACACTCAAAAATGGCATCTTTGAAAAATATCACCATATTACTTAATGTTTTCCCACATCCTTCTCTTCTATAATGGATAAGTGAATTCTTAAATTAAATTTGCCCATCTATAAAATATCTTCTTTTGAATTACATTCACTTCCTTGAGGAGAACATCCATTCAGGAGCTCCTTTTCCAAGAGAGAAAATAGGTTAAAGGCTTCAGTAATAGAGCAGGCTGTCCCGCGGACACACCAATTTCATCCGTCACTGTAGTAGGCACTGTGCTATCCAATTCAGGGGGCCGTTTTGCCCACTCATTTACCAAAGGCCTGATGTGAGAATTCCACTTTTACAAATGGGTCTTCCATCATATGCTGTATGTGCATTTACCGCTACATTTGGGTTGTAAAAATTATTTTTAAGGATGCTATATAATTTTGGTTTCCTTGCATTTTGATCCGCAGAGTTAATTCACTCCCCTAGCTTTTCAGATATGTGCTATCAGACCAGACTGCCTTCCACACTGAGAATATTTGCATTCAGTGTATCTGTGCTTATTAGCCTTAAAAGGGGAGGAGTGGTATTTATTCTTGACTTGTCTTTAACCATTCACTGTCAATCACTCTCACCAAGAGTGCAGATCACACCCCATTATGAAACCCCTGCCTTCCCAAGGGACTGACACCAAAATGGAAACGTTCAGCCACTTTTCAGCTCACAAATGATACCACACCACACACTCCATACCAGCTCTCCGTGGTCCTAGTCCCCTTTGTTCACTCTCCACACCTCTCCAAATCAGCTTGGTCTTGTGAGTTTGAATGAATTTTACATTGTGATGCAAGCATAAAAATGGCAATGTGTCCACATAGAGCCACATGCTTAAGAAATATAAGGACACAGTCTCACAAGTAAAAGGCTATACACAAAGAAGACTATAACCATACTCATTATACGTTCCCAGAGACCAACATAAAAAGGAAAATGATTCATATCAAGTATTTTACAAAATGATGAACCAAGGGCACTAAGAATATTTTCTCACATAGCAAATGTAAAGATAAAATAAACAGAAATGTTCAGATTAATCTTAGAACTTTATCAAGTTCTTTATAAAATTACTTTATAAATACTTTAATTCTAATGAGCTAGCACATTCTACAAATATTCTTATTTAAGATGCTTTCTAAGATGAAAGACAAATAATCAAATTGGAGTCAATTTTTTAGAGGACTATCAATATAAGATTAAAATTTTTAAATGAAAGGAGAATGCCAACAACAGATGTAGTAGGATAGAAGCACCTAAAATGGCAAAATAAATAAAAATAAATCTTTTAGGGCTTTAGAACTACTTGGTTACATTATGAAATAAGGCACTGGGTGAGTCTTAATAAACTAAACCCAAACACCACATTAGTTAACAAGTTAATCAAAACATAGCCAAAGTTCTGAGGATTCCATAATAAAACTGAAAACTTCGATTCAGAAATAAAATTTAGATCTGCTATGACCCTTAGAGAAATTCTCATTTTTTGGGTCCAAACCACAGAATAAGTATATTATATATTCAAATGATAACCAGCAACAATGGTGAGAATTGAGCTCAATTGAAGATCACTAGATTAGAATATAGACATTAATTTTTTAATGATACTTCAATAATGTAAGTGAAAGAATTCATCAATTGTATATTCCCCCCAGGATCCCAAAAGAGATAAAAAATTGGGGAGAGTAGTTACAGATACCAAGCCAGCTTCACCTGTTTAAAAGCGTAATGGAAAATATAACTTAGGTGCTTCTAAGTATTTGAAAGTGTTAACTTAAGAATTTATATGGAAACTTAAGTCCATATCCTGGGGGGTTTGATGGGGGCGTTAAGGACAAGGATACAGTGATCTGTAAGCTTCTCAAGAAGAAGGAAATGTTGAAAGCGATATCAAGGAGAGAGAGTAGAGTGGAAAAAGAAGTACAAGCTATGGGGCAGGAAGAAGGGATGAATATAGGAAAGGAGTTCAGAAAAATCCCTGGGAAAGAAAGATGAGAGAAAGGTTCAACAGTTTCCAAATGTGAGGCCAGAGGGGCTAAAGAAAAGTCACAGATTGGAAAGAATTTCAGAAACTAATTTGAAGAAATGGTCACTGACTTTTTGAAGAGATTGTTTATCACTGTTAACCTGATACAGTCCAACTAAAATCCAGAAATGATACTAATGACATTCATCAAGTCTTTAGTTTTCGATTTTAATATGTCTGAACAATTGTCATCTAATTCAATTTTGTGTCAATCAACCGAACACCTGCGAGTGTTGCATCCCAGTCTGCTGGTGGGATGAGCAGAAATGCCATCAGAGAACCCAAAGGGCTGAAAAAAGGGGAAGGACCCAGAGTGTAGCCTTTGATGGAAGCAATCTGCCTACCCCACCCTGTACGTCCTGAGGGCAAGAGAGACAGATTCTAAGACCAGCTTTCCAGGAGGCCCCATTTTGTGCTGATAGCTTCCAAACAATCTAAATTTGCACTTGGGTATAGTTTATCCGCTCCACAGGATCTGCCCCAAAATGCGAAGAGTTAGAAAACTTGGATGAATCTCGAAGCTAGAACGGCCTTTTAACAGTGCACACATTTTTCTGACCTCTACCAAAGCAACCTATTCTTTATGTGAATTTCTGTTTCTTTTATTTCATTTGTCTTATATCCAAACTCCTAAGACTGTAAGCCAATTAAATAATAAAGCACTTTAATAAAGTTAAGTTTTACATATTTCTCCTAAGCGCAGTGGTAAAAATACTGAGTTTTCAAAAATATTGGTTAGTGATGATGCATGTTTTTTAAAAAAGGTTCTTATGAAGCAAATACATATTTAATGCCAGAAAATTTTTTATTTGTATCTCTTGAAATACAGATGCCCTCATTTACCTTAACTCATGCTAAAAATAAAATGAGCTATACACAGTAGGGCTGAACATACTATTAACAGAATTAAAATCATAATAAAAAAATAAGAGGTTCAATTTATTAAGAGCTTACTATGTTCTGATACTGTGCAAAAGGGTTTTAGTGTGTTATATAATTTAATCTTCCCCTAAACCCAGTAAAGAAGGTACTACACTATCTACACGTGTGGATGAAAAAACAAAGATTCACGATAGTTGACATAGAAGGAAATTTTAGTTGAAAATAATAAATTTCGCTTGCATTTTCATTATATAAAAACCTTATACTCAGCAATATTGATGTAAATTTTATTATGTGCAACTCTAAAAAATATAAGGTCCTGAATTCAAA